AATTCCTACAGTCTGACTTCTTTGAAGTCGGGCCATCCGTGGCTGGACTTTGTCCTCGACGTCAGCCGGCAGGAGTGGTCCCATCACCCCCCTGCCCAAACGGAAGCCATCACCCTGCAAACCTAGGGCTCTTCTTTTCCCCAGCTCCCCTTTGCAGTGGTTTCCTGTCCCTTGTGTTCCTCTATGTCTAGACCCACCCGTCTCTCAGTGTGTCACACTGTAGTGTAGGCTTTCCTGATGCTGTGATGCCAGTGGGACTTGAAATACCAGCAGTGTCACCCAGGGTGGACGGGTTTCAGCAGAGCTTCCTGACTTAAAAAAGAGGAGGCAGAAAGTGAGAGTCCTCTAAGGCAGCGCTGGAGGAGGAGCTCCCTAGGTCGGAAGGCCCTCACAACTATGCCGTGGATGCGAGCAGACCGTGGCGGTGAAGATGGTGCCGGACGGGGCAGTTGTGTCGTTGCTGGCCACGGCGTCTCCATGGCTTGGAATGGGCTTTATGCCGGCTGGATGATGGGGCTTCAGTGATGCTCTCTTTCACTTCTGTGGCTGATTGGTGTGTAGCCCAGAGCTCTGCATATATCTGTGCCGGATTCAGTTTGAGGTTCTCAGCCGCTGGCTGGTGGATTGGCGCTGGGCTGATGCTGTGTTCGCAATGCCTTAACAGCCTGGGTGTCTAAGATACAGCATCTCGGGCATCAGTCCTGGCTAGGCAGTAGGAATGAGGTGTTTTTAACAAGCACTGCTTCGGATTCTGATGCTCAGTGGTTGCTTAGTGAAGAGTGGTTATTTAAGTCTCCCTGGGAAATAAGCCCAAAGCCAGGGCGATGGTTAGCAAATCTCAATCAGATCGGTGCAAGTTGCTGCTAGTTTGCCTGAGTCTTGGTTGGTGTTGTTTTAGCCACATGATTTTCTGCCAGAGTTCCCTCATACTTGTTGATTGATTGTAGCTATTTTATTTGTCTTTTCCTTTTTTTTTTTTTTAAGGTATTATGCAGGCTGGGCCGATAAGTACCATGGGAAAACCATTCCTATTGATGGGGACTTCTTCAGCTACACCCGTCATGAGCCGGTGGGCGTGTGTGGGCAGATCATCCCTGTGAGTGCCGGCCCTCTGGGTGACATGGCCTTTCTTTGCCTGGAAACTAGAAGTGAGATCCCCCAATTGCAGACAGACTCATTGCAAACGTGTGGGGCTGAGTGGGTTGAAACCAGGAGGCCCAGATCCCGACACGCCTCAGTTTCCTCCTCTGAACGTGGCAGTGAACAGGGTCCTGCCTTAGGTGGGGACGGAGGGTTGAGTGGGTGGCCTAATAAGGGATTCGCCTGGTGCCAGGTACAGAGAAGGCAGTAGTACATCCCCGTTGCTATTATTCATCAGTCCTGCCTCGTGCATCTGTCTTCCATTGTGTGGGGAGCACCTGGGTTTCTAAGAACACCGAGCCCACCTTCCTGCTGTGGGGTGCTGCTGGCTGCTGAAGCTCTCTGAGGGGGCGTCTGTTCCCGGGGGGGCTGTGGTACTTTGCAGTGGAACTTCCCGCTCCTGATGCAAGCATGGAAACTGGGCCCGGCCCTGGCAACTGGCAACGTGGTTGTGATGAAGGTAGCTGAGCAGACACCACTCACCGCTCTCTACGTGGCCAATCTGATTAAGGAGGTGGGTCGCTCATTTCCGCCTGTGCTCTAAACGCCCTGGGTAGGTGTCTGAAGAGGGGGCACGGGGTTGAAGGGGTGGGAACAGAACAGACCACCTTGACCAGACTCTTTAAAACAGAGTCTTGAGAGCAGTGGTTCTCAACCTTCCTTATGCCGCGACCCTTTAACACAGCTCCTCATGTGGTGGTGACCCCCAACCATAAAATTGTTTTCGTTGCTACTTCCTAACTGTCATTTTGCCACTGTGATGAATCGTCATGTAAATATCTGATACACGGGATGTATTTTCATTGTTACAAATTGAACATCATGAAAGCATAGTGATTAATCACAGAAACACTATGTAATTCTGTATTGTGAAATATTGATTTCTAATGACAGCTCAATGAAATGTTGTCTTGAAGCATGGTGGAACATGGGTAACAGTCTTCAAGCCAGGTACTTGTAGGTGGGCTTATCTGCAGGTGGGCGGACCCGCCCGGAGATGCATAGAGGAGCATGTGTCCCGGTTCCTAAGACCATCAGAAATCTGTGTTTTCCGATGGTTGTTCAACCCCCAAAGAGGTTGCGACCCACAGGTGGAGAACCCACAGGTGGAGAACCATTGCTTTAGAGCAAACTGCATAGTATCTTCTGGCTGTTGGCTCACAGCCTGGCTTCCGCCTGCAAGGGCGCCCCTGTAAGATCCCCTTTGAAGGATGAAAATCATCGTTCTAAATCAGCAGTCTGCAAACTTTTGAGACGGAAGAGCCAATCCCGACCCTCACAGTAATTTAAACTTATTTCGAGGGCCATAAATATATTTTTCATGTTCAGTTTTACTTCAGCCGCACGTACCTCCCGGAAGAGTCCCATATGGCTGTGGAGCTGCAGTTTGCCCACCTCTGTTCTACATGAATGTCTTGGGGGAGGGGTACCAATCACAAGAGACCCCCGATCAGCATCAGGGGGCTTCATGTCACTCCCGAGTGGAATTCCTCTGCCAGGTGCTGTGACAGTCTCAGCCGGCTGTCCTACTCCTAAGGGCTGATGTCACAAAGTACCAGGAGCTGAACACAGTGTCCTGTCTGCAGCTGGGGAGGCTGCAGGTTCAAGCCTGGGTGTTGGCAGGGCCTGCTCTCACTGGAGGGCCTACAGCAGTGGTTCTCAACCTGTGGGTCATGACCCCTTTGGGGGGGGTTGAACAACCCTTTCACAGGGGTCCCGATTTATAACAGTAGCAAAATGACAGTATTGAAGTAGCAACGAAAATTTTATGGTTGGGGGTCACCCCCCACATGAACTGTCTTCAAGGGTTGAGGCATTAGGAAGGCTGAGAACCCCTGCCCTACAGGAAGAGCTGTTCTTACCTCTTCCTAACTCCTCATGGGTCCCAGCAGCCCTGGGCACTCCTGGCCTGTGGCAGCCACACTCTGCTCTCTGATCCATCCGCACAAGACAGTCTTCCTCTACATTTCTATCTCCCTCTTGTCCTGCATGCCTAAGGACACTAGTCATCTTGAGTTAGCGCCCAACCTATGTCCGGGGGACTTCATGTTCACTAGTTACCGCTGCAAAGATGCTCTTCCAAAACCGCAGTCACGTGGGGGGGACGACGACAACACACCATCGAACTTAGAACACTTCTTCTTTTCGGGATGAATTTTCCCTGCCCTT